AGGCAGGAGAATGGCGTGAACCCGGGAGGCGGAGCTTGCAGTGAGCCGAGATCGCGCCACTGCACCCCAGCCTGGGCGACAGAGCCAGACTCTGTTTCAAAAAAAGAATTATTGAATTACTACAGTTCAAAAATCCTGCGGCGCCTCTGTCGCTGCATCACCAGAACCGGGAATGGGAGTCACTCTTCCTCGTGGAAGAATATCCTTCAGAATGAAGTGGGGATGCTGTGAAACTGTCTTCCTCCTCCCCCTGGAGTTCACAGCACAGTGCATTTACTCTTAATAACGCGCTAGCTGTCAGCTTCTGTTGTGGCCGTGCAGACTAGAAATGTGGTTTTTTTATTGTGTATTTTAATTGTTTTAATTAGGTTTTAATTACACGACAAATACACAAATATAATCTCCTGTTTTTGTTTTTTAAAAGTCTGTATATAAAGACAAAATCCCCTTTTAAAAGCCTTTTTAGCTTATTCCATATGGCTTATATAGACGGGAACTATATGTATGCTCAGTACAAATACAGAGCCACTCTTCTGAAACTTCTTTGTTACCTTACCTTCAGACGGCAGTACAGCAGCACCGGCGTCCTTTCTGACATGTCGGAGCCCTTTAGGAGAAAGCTTGTACCCTGTGGAAAGAGTGAAAAATGGCTGGGCGTGGTGTAATCCTGACACGCCTGTAATCCTAGCACTTTGGGAGGCTGAGGCGGGAGGACTGCTTGAAGCTAGGAGTTCAAGACCAACCTGACCAACATAGTGAGACCCCGTCTCTATTTTCTAAAAATGTAGAAAGAGTGAAAAACCCAACCGAAGCTGCCATGCTGCACTGACCACTTAGACACTCTACACACGGCAAAGAATAAAGCTGGATGACCGAACAGATTACAAGGGGGGCCCCCAAAGCATTAGAGGGACTAAATAATTAGACAAATATTCTTTTCACTTTTAATAGGAACTATAGCGGTATCTTTTGGAGCCCTCATTTACGGAAGGATGGTAAAGAATGAGGGGTTTGTCATCTTGTGTGGCAAGAAGCCTGTGTGTGGAAGGACCCTGAGGCTGGGATTAAGGGAATTGTGTCCAGCTCCCAGCTCTGGCATTTTACTAGCTGTGGATTCTTACACGAAAAGAATTCTCTTTACTTTTGTCATCTTGTCTCTCAGATTAGGTAGACGAGCATTTTATGGTGCACTTTGAAACTTCCAGAGTACTCGTATAGATATGGTTATATTGTTATAAAATTAAGGGAAGCAAAAGTACTTGAGAAGTAAAAGGAATTATTAATAATGAAGTATTTGTATTGGACTCACTCTTAGAAATGCAGCTCATTTGTGGACATGCTTCTTCATATGTAAATGCAGCATTGTAATATGTAATGTACATGTACGAATATGATTTCATGTGTGTTACAGGGAAGAAACGATTTCCCTCGGGGATGGAGACGTCAGGACCATGTGCCCCCTTCTGTCTATGAAACCTGGAGAATATTCTTATTTCAGTCCTCGGACCATGTCGATGTGGGCTGGCCCGGATCACTGGCGCTTTAGGCCTCGACGCAAACGTATGTAATTCTAGGTGGAATTTTAAGAAAAGAAGTGTTCATGACCAGCCAGTCAGCAGTTAGCCAAGGAAGAGAAATGCCAGTCACAGCCCTGTTGTGTGTCTTAATAAGTCAGAGAAGCATACAGATGAGCCAGCCTCCTGGTTCGTCAGTTTGCCTGGCCTGGGATGAAGGGACAGTGAAAATGGAAGCCTCTGAGTGAGAAGAATGCGTAATGGAGTCAGGAGAACGGGGCTCCCAGCCTCACACTGCTCCCTAGTATCCACATGACTTAACTCAGGGGCCATGGGTGGGCATGACCCCCGGGCACTAGAGGGCATACAGGCGCTACTGCACATGCTGGCATTCTGTAGAACTCTGAAGGGCTGTGCTGACCTTATGTGTTTTGCATTGTCTCTTTGAAAGAAAGGGATAAGCATCTGTTGTTTTATATTTTGTTTTGCTTTTGAGACAGGGTCTCATACTGTCACCCAGGCTGAAGTGCAGTGGTAAATCATGGCTTACTGCAGCCTTGACCTCCCAGGCTTAAGCATCCTCCCACCTCAGCCTTCTGAATAGCTGGGACTGCAGGGGCATGCCAGCATGCTCAGTTAATTTTTAAATTTTCTGTAGTGACGGGATCCCGCTTTGTTGCCTAGGCTGGTCTGGACTCCTGGCCTCAAGCGATCCTCCTGCCTTGGCCTCCCAAAGTGTTGGAATTATAGGCATGAGCCACTGCACCCGGCCAAGCATATGTTTCTGATGTGTTTTCTTAGCCAAAACACAAATGATAAGTTTAGAGTGAAAAGAGGGTGGTGATTGAGCACTCCTACCGTTGTGATGCTCAGACACGATGCCGCCTTGTGGTTTTGATAAGCCTTGATAAGGCTGTCAGCAGATCTTGGGAAATGAGTAAATAGGCCACAGAAGTGAAGTGCTGACATTTGTGTTCACTCTACAGAAGATGCTCCCTCCCAATCAGAAAACAGAAAGAAGAGTACAAAGAAAGATTTTGAAATTGACTTTGAAGATGATATTGACTTTGATGTATA